AAACTGTATAGAGAAAATTGATTCCAATACTTCTGTACTGTGAAAAATTTTAATTTTTTTCCCCTTTTCTTCCCATGCTATCCAGAAGCTTGGAAAGGTAGAAGAGCAGGATCGGTGAAGGTTGGAAAGGTAGAAGAGCAGGATCTGTGAAACTGTCCCTATTTCCAGTTTTCCGAGTGGAAGGAGTGTTAAATGTAATATTTACCAATGACTAAACAGAAGTATATGGTCCATTTTGTATTTTGTTGCCTCTTTGGAAGGTAGAGGAATTTGACAGTGACACAAGAGATTGATATTGGGACCCTATTTTGATTTCAGTATGACCAGAACTATACTAAGAGTGTAGAATTTAACCCTGACAGAAAAACTGCTTTTATGAGTGAATATTTTTGTATCATTTATTCCTTAGAACTGAATGTTGCTTAACTAGAGGGTGTTCAGCAGTTGGCTCTGATTTTTGGGTGTGGATCTGTCTTCTCAGTTACAGACTTCATTTATTTTCAATCTTCTGCTGCAAAACACTAAGTAAACTTCCAGTGCTTCCAAAACTTGGTCACTTATGAGAGCTGTCTAGGCACAGGTGAATGGAGTGAAGTGAGAAGAAAATGAAATAAATACAGATCCATTTATTTTTCTTCTCTCAAGCATTCTACCTGTGTACTAAGGACTGTGCCAAATATCAATCAAAATGAAACACTGTGCTTCTCTAGCACTTTGTATCTCAAGATAGTTATGTTTAATACTGTAAAAGAACACCACTCCTTAATTTCCACCTAAAACAGGTAAACTGTTAAGTAATTTGTAAATTGCTCTGGCGCTACAGTTCTTCATACATCTCCTTCCACATTAGACAGAGGGAGTTTGGTCCTCAACCCAACATTTTTCTGCTTAGGAGGAGATAAGAGCTGATTTCTTGTAGTCATCACAGCTTCTGGTCTCAGACTGTGTGGGTGGAAAGTGAGCCGAGACTTTGAAGGAGTGTTTTTAGGTTTGTGTGCCTTAAGGATACAAACCTAAATCCTAAACAGAAGACTGCTGCTTAAAATAGCCTAATACTGAAGTTGTCCTGTTTTTCACAGGAGTTTGATCACTTCTTAGCCACCAAGTTTGCCACGGTGAAGCGCTACGGCGGCGAGGGGGCCGAGAGTATGATGGGCTTCTTCCACGAGCTGTTCAAGATGTGCGCGTACGGCGGAGTGACGGATGTTGTTATTGGAATGCCTCACCGTGGAAGGCTTAACCTCCTCACAGGTCTGCTTCAGCTTCCACCCGAGGTAAGAGGTTCATAATCTCATGAGCACTTGCTTGATGCCTGGTTTATTTGAGGTGAAATAAAGCCCCAAAAGTTTGTCGTGTTGTAAGTGCTGGAGCCATGAAAGTTAACCTGTGTGAGAGTGTTTTCCCTTCCTGTCAACACTTCAGCCAACTGTCCACAGGAGGCTGTAAAAATCACTCTAATGCAGGGCTTTCTGTGCTGTTATCAGAAGCATCCTTGTAATTTCAGGAGAAGGAGAGCATAGGGTTCAGTAAATGCTTTTCTTTCACCGTGTCAGTGAATCAGAAAAGGGTTTTGACCAAATCTGTTTCCATGCAGCTCATGTTCCGTAAGATGAGTGGTCTGAGTGAGTTCCCAGAGAATTCAGCAGCCATTGGGGATGTTCTCTCCCACCTGACATCTTCTGTGGACCTCGACTTCGGTGCCCACAGGCCTGTGCACGTCACCTTGCTGCCCAACCCCTCACATTTGGAAGCCATCAATCCAGTGGCCGTGGGCAAGACACGGGGGAGGCAGCAGACCCTGCTCGATGGAGATTACTCCCCAGACAGCTCTGCACAGCCTGGGGACAAAGTTATTTGCCTGCAGGTATTTTGCTCACAATTCCTAGCTGATCTTTGTAAGACTTACTGGACTAGAATGTGAACAGAAGTGTATACAGAAATATCAGAAAAACACTGATTTGATGTATATGACAAGTAGTGGGATCCTGTTTACGGGGAAAGAGGAGGGCAAGGAAGATTTCCAGGTGCCATATGTGATGATACTGGCATTTAAACAACTGCACTTCTAAGATTTCTGAAGAACTGCTTCTGATATCTTCCTTTTTTAAAATAATACTCTGCATTGGGAGCCATGTGTGCCTTTCCTCACAGACCACTTTTGCATTTAAACCACCACCAGAATCCTTCTTTTAAATTAATAGGTTTGGAGAGGATCTGTCAACAAGGTTGCAGAATCCTCAGGAGGATTTAGAATTTTGTCATTTTATCATGGTACTATTGAAGACTCTGCTGGAATTAGTTTTTACTCCTTGACCTGACTTTTATAGTTGTAGAGGCAATCCTAAATAGTTCCTTGACAAATTTTCTTTTCTTGCATTGTGTTCAACTTGGAAAAACAAGTGAGTCAAACTCTTCACATTTTAAAGCCAGGAGTAAACACGAGTTGGGCAGAACTGTTCTCCTGTGAAGCCTAATCAACATGGAGGAAGTTACATATAGAAATGAAAATGTAATTCAGTTCAAAAAATGTTTTGCTTCCTTCTGGAAAGGGTATTGAGAAAAAGCAGAAACGAGAATATCTTGGGCAAGTTTGGGTTCTTATATTTTTTTATTAAAAAAAAAGGGTTTAGGGCATGCAAGTTCAGGGAGGTGTTTGTGGCCCACTGTGTCTCCTCCTCATATTTCTGTGCAGTTGTGTCAGTTAGTTTGAGAACATACTATTGTTTCTTAGATTCTCTCTTTCTCATAATGTTAGATTTTCACCATGTAGTAATGAGAGTATGGCAACTCTTTAAACAAAGATTCTTCAGGATAAATGGACCTTCCCTATGCAGGAAAAATTTACCTGTTTGGGTTTTGTCCAGGTAAGTGGTAGGGAGGGTTNATACATCTCCTTCCACATTAGACAGAGGGAGTTTGGTCCTCAACCCAACATTTTTCTGCTTAGGAGGAGATAAGAGCTGATTTCTTGTAGTCATCACAGCTTCTGGTCTCAGACTGTGTGGGTGGAAAGTGAGCCGAGACTTTGAAGGAGTGTTTTTAGGTTTGTGTGCCTTAAGGATACAAACCTAAATCCTAAACAGAAGACTGCTGCTTAAAATAGCCTAATACTGAAGTTGTCCTGTTTTTCACAGGAGTTTGATCACTTCTTAGCCACCAAGTTTGCCACGGTGAAGCGCTACGGCGGCGAGGGGGCCGAGAGTATGATGGGCTTCTTCCACGAGCTGTTCAAGATGTGCGCGTACGGCGGAGTGACGGATGTTGTTATTGGAATGCCTCACCGTGGAAGGCTTAACCTCCTCACAGGTCTGCTTCAGCTTCCACCCAAGGTAAGAGGTTCATAATCTCATGAGCACTTGCTTGATGCCTGGTTTATTTGAGGTGAAATAAAGCCCCAAAAGTTTGTCGTGTTGTAAGCGCTGGAGCCATAAAAGTTAACCTGTGTGAGAGTGTTTTCCCTTCCTGTCAACACTTCAGCCAACTGTCCACAGGAGGCTGTAAAAATCACTCTAATGCAGGGCTTTCTGTGCTGTTATCAGAAGCATCCTTGTAATTTCAGGAGAAGGAGAGCATGGGGTTCAGTAAATGCTTTTCTTTCACCGCGTCAGTGAATCAGAAAAGGGGTTTGACCAAATCTGTTTGCATGCAGCTCATGTTCCGTAAGATGCGTGGTCTGAGTGAGTTCCCAGAGAATTCAGTAGCCATTGGGGATGTTCTCTCCCACCTGACATCTTCTGTGGACCTCGACTTCGGTGCCCACAGGCCTGTGCACGTCACCTTGCTGCCCAACCCCTCACATTTGGAAGCCATCAATCCAGTGGCCGTGGGCAAGACACGGGGGAGGCAGCAGACCCTGCTCGATGGAGATTACTCCCCAGACAGCTCTGCACAGCCTGGGGACAAAGTTATTTGCCTGCAGGTATTTTGCTCACAATTCCTAGCTGATCTTTGTAAGACTTACTGGACTAGAATGTGAACAGAAGTGTATACAGAAATATCAGAAAAACACTGATTTGATGTATAATGACAAGTAGTAGTATCCTGTTTACGGGGAAAGAGGAGGGCAAGGAAGATTTCCAGGTGCCATATGTGATGATACTGGCATTTAAACAACTGCACTTCTAAGATTTCTGAAGAACTGCTTCTGATATCTTCCTTTTTTAAAATAATACTCTGCATTGGGAGCCATGTGTGCCTTTCCTCACAGACCACTTTTGCATTTAAACCACCACCAGAATCCTTCTTTTAAATTAATAGGTTTGGAGAGGATCTGTCAACAAGGTTGCAGAATCCTCAGGAGGATTTAGAATTTTGTCATTTTATCATGGTACTATTGAAGACTCTGCTGGAATTAGTTTTTACTCCTTGACCTGACTTTTATAGTTGTAGAGGCAATCCTAAATAGTTCCTTGACAAATTTTCTTTTCTTGCATTGTGTTCAACTTGGAAAAACAAGTGAGTCAAACTCTTCACATTTTAAAGCCAGGAGTAAACACGAGTTGGGCAGAACTGTTCTCCTGTGAAGCCTAATCAGCATGGAGGAAGTTACATATAGAAATGAAAACGTAATTCAGTTCAAAAAATGTTTTGATTCCTTCTGGAAAGGGTATTGAGAAAAAGCAGAAACGAGAATATCTTGGGCAAGTTTGGGTTCTTATATTTTTTTATTAAAAAAAAAAGGGTTTAGGGCATGCAGGTTCAGGGAGGTGTTTGTGGCCCACTGTGTCTCCTCCTCATATTTCTGTGCAGTTGTGTCAGTTAGTTTGAGAACATACTATTGTTTCTTAGATTCTCTCTTTCTCATAATGTTAGATTTTCACCATGTAGTAATGAGAGTATGGCAACTCTTTAAACAAAGATTCTTCAGGATAAATGGACCTTCCCTATGCAGGAAAAATTTACCTGTTTGGGTTTTGTCCAGGTAAGTGGTAGGGAGGGTTTCACAGTAGAGAAGAACAACATTAAATCTGAGCTAGACACCTCCATGTTAGTAACTGATTCAAAGTATGCCTAAAAGAAAGAAAATGTTTCATGGAATTGTGACTGTGGCTTCAAGAGGTCCAAGGGTTAGACTGAAAAAAAAAAAAAGGCCAATTTTTACTTATGACTGCTAACTGCTGTCACTCAGCTAATTGAGAAGAAAGAGATGAAAGCAGACACCACCTTTTTCAGAATCTTGGTTTGGAAGTTTCTCTTTGGGCTTTCTGGGGATTTCTGTTTTTACAGTGCTTTTTCTTGAGAAATATAAGCGTAGACACACTGAATTGAGCTTTACTCTGGCACTTGCTCTATTCTTCCACTAGAATAGACCTTCCACTAGCCTGAGGGCAGAGCTTGAGGGGAAAAAGAGTAAAGATCAACTAAGGTGCTGATCAGCTAAGGTGCCAGTGTAAGCCTAGTTGTCCAAGGTCTGAAAATCTTTTTTTGGAAATTCAGTGTGCTTAGAATATATGAAGACTATAAAACTCTTCTGCATGGACACCTCTGCAGTGTTTAATTGCCCATCTCTGCTGAGAGTGGCTTATTTTTCATCTTCTCACATACCTTAACTCCACTTCCTGGACATCAGGCAACTACTGATGTTTATGATTTGAACTGAAATTTGAGAATAAGATCTCCCAGAAATAAATTTGAAATTTGACATTCTACTGTCAGGGTCACTGTTTAATGAATTAAACTCAATGGTGGCCTTGCTTTTATGTTTTTTGCTAATGCAGCCCAGAAAAAAAAGACTGTCCTAGCAAAAACTGTCTCCACCTTTCTGGTAGAATGAGGAAAATCCTACCTGCACCACAGGAATTGGATCCTCTGGGGTTTGAGATGATATGAAGAGTCTTGTATGGTTGGATAGCCACACTGTCTGTAGGTTTTACTGCTTTGGGATGTGCTGAAGGCCATAAAGTTCTCTCAGATATTCTAGGGTCTTCACTCAAATGAGATACGTAGCCTTCTTAGGCAGCAGAAAAAAACAGGAAGGAAAAGTGAAAACCCAACACTTGAGGAGCAAGTGTAGCATGGCAAGGGATAGAGTGGGGGTGCTGGGTTGTCTCTCTTGCAGTAGTTACCTTTGTTTTTCTGTGATACCTCTTAAAAACTGTATCAGAACTGTATAAAACCCAGTGCTGCCATTTTACTGGTTGCACCTCTACTGTCTTGCAGGTGTAGTTGCACCTCAAAAGTCTCCTGAGGCTTGACATCACTATCCCATAGCTAGAAGGTAGAACTGTCAATAAGAAGGTACATAAATTTGCATAGTGACTTTGATCTGCAAAGGACTGAGTCTGCATTCTGAGGAAGCTGTGATCATATTGACCAATGGAGAACTATCTCTAGTTTTGAAACATTGGAATGCTAAATGATACTCATGCTGGTATCTCTAGCCTTTTTGGAAATCTGGTTTGGACATCACAGTGGACTCCCCTCCCCTTCCAAAGTATTTTTTTATTTGCAACATTTATTTGCTATTCCTATTTTGAAATGTAGCTAAGAATTTAGGTTTTATTTCCTTCTGAAAGCTTTTATTTGCTTTTGAGTGCTTCTGTTAATTTTCCTCTTGTTTTTCTCCTGTTGTGTCTGTTCTTGTCTTTGGTAAGGTAGGAGTAGGCATAAGTCCCAGTTCACCCAAATTCAGCAAAGAGTGCTGAATTTGTTCAGGGGTCAGGGACTTGCTGCTGACTGCTGCAGCTTTGCCATAGCCAGGACACTTGCAGTCACCTGGACACTGGTGGGTGAGTTTTAGGAGTTTATAGGTCAGTTCCAGGTAGGAATTACATCAGGCAGTCATGTACACACGTTGGCTGCTATGGCCTTGTGTTAGTGATAAGGTAATATAAAGTCTCAAATCATGAAAACAGTAGTCTGAAAGGTTTTAAGAAGTGGGTCCAGCTGGAATAGTATCTGTTCCATGTACTCAATTTAGAAGGTGTTGCTTAATAAGTTACAGTTTTGATTTTGCTGTTCCTCCAGTATTTCCTAATGAGACTTTTCCATCTTCTTCCCTAATGTAGGTTCATGGCGACGCTGCTTTCTCTGGGCAGGGGATTGTTCCTGAAACACTGACCCTCTCTAATCTACCACATTTCAGAGTTGGTGGGAGCATCCACTTGATTGTTAATAACCAGCTGGGCTATACCACTCCTCCAGAGCGAGGAAGGTCGTCCCTGTACTGCAGTGACATTGGTATGTGGAGCCGAATCAGGAGGAGAATTGTCTGTTGTGTCAGAAAGGATTTTTAACTTCAGTCTGGATATGTGCTGTGCTGTGGGCTTTTTATAGCAAGTCCCTATCAGCTCTGGGGAGTTGTGCTAATATAGCTCCAGTTTCATGATAGAGTAGAAATTAAAATTATTATCGATTATTTCCTCCTACTGGCAACAATTCAGATGCTAAAAATATGCCCTCCCCCGTCTGCCTTATGGCAAAGACTAAACACCAAGGGAAAACCTGATCACATTTTCACGGGATGTTATGAAATATTTGCAAGATTACTGTGAAGTCTCTGTGACTCGTTTAATTTCTGTCATGTCATTGACAGCTTTCAAAAAAGTGTTGCGATGGAGTGTGTAACATGTATTTTAAATACATCTTGTTAAACTTCATCAAAATCATCCCAGTGTGTTTTCTGAGCAAGATTTATAGGGCAGATACTCCTTCATTTTTCTGTTGTGTTTGTTGTCAGGTGAGCTTGTTGAGCTTTTAATGGAAAGCTGAGGCTCAAGACCTTTCCAAGCTTATACTAGAAGTCTTTTGTTTTGGACTGATCTTTCTTAGTGATAAACAGATGTATTATCAATAGGATTAGAGACTCAGTAGTAAGTTCTCTTGTGTATGTCACTTATAACTAAAAATATACTTTTCTATGTTTTTAAGACTTAACATTAAGTATTTGTGTTTGTTTTATGGTTTCATCAAACCAAACAGGTAGATTCATTAATCTGGTAAGGTAGATAG